CCCCCCCCCCTACTCCACCATACCCGCCCCAGCCCAAGCCCAAGCCCAAGCCAACATAATCCAAAATTTAGTATCTAACATTTTAAATAATCCAACATAATTATAGAATATTATAACATAATTAAAAACTTATCATCTACAACATCATCCAACATAATATAATTAAAACTTTGTCTACAACATAATCCAACAAAATATAATTAAAAGTATATCTCCCATGTAAATCCAACACAATATAATGTAGCATAACATAATCCAATATAAAAAAAAAAACATAAAACCACAAAGATCTATATTTTTACAAGCCAAAAACATGAAAAAAAAAATAATCAAAAAACAAAATAATTTTTTTAAAAAATAATTATTTAATAATATGCAGATTTGTATTCACAACAACATAATAATAATAATAACGGAGAAAGGCGAAGCGGGGCGGGGGTAAGTGTTAGTCTATCCCCGCCTTCATCTCCACACAGGTTTATATGAGTATCCCCATATACATCTACCGTCCAATACGTATAGTCAATCCTCGGTCCAAACAGAGCGGGTTTGAACGAATACTCATTTGTACCCGATTCACTGTCATCCCTATCTCCAACCCAATCTCTGATAGCTCTTCATATCCACCCTTACTGTGGCACACAAGGTCATAATATGCTCCACAAGTTCATCCCATAGTCTACATCAATCTAAATACAGAGATGATAATACACCTAAGTTCCTTGTCAAGCGCAACAACGATAGGATTTAAAATACTATTTCTTTGGAGGTCAGCTCCAGTCGTTATGTTTTGTTTGTCACCGAAAAACCCACATTTTTCCAGATCGGTTAAAGATAAAAACCATATAGTTCAGGACAAGAATGAAATCAAACTACCTTCTCCAATGAGCACTGAGAATCAAAATCATTGATGTTTGCTTCATTTATTGGGTCAAAAATGTTTCCATCATCTTCATCAATTGAACTTGAATCCTTGTCAAGATTTCCTTCAATTAACTGCACAAGATAGAAATATTGGTGAACCTTCAGACAACATTAAGAACTGTATCTGATGTCTAAAGCTATTAATAGATTCACATGCGAAAAGACAAAAATAATTTAATCAACCCAAATATGATATTTCAGAATAGTAGCAAGCCTCTCACATGGGAATCCAAAATGAAACAAGCAACCAATACTTGCTTAACTTTTAAGATACATAAAAAGTGGTGTGAATACTACACCCACACAAAAATCATTTGTAGTTGAAAAATAAGATAGATCAAATATAGGAAAACCCTAATAGCCCAGTGAATTTTGAATAGATGAAAACATTCCAAAACATCATACACTTCCATTCCAAAACTCAAAACTTGATGATCCAAACATGTTTCTTTATCCTTAAGCGTCTTGTATTTAGTGAAAGGAAACAAATAAGATTTTAGGATGTTGTCCTCAATGGTGTGTTCGATAAGAGAGATTGAAAAGGGAAAGAACGNAGAGACTCACGGATCCCAACTTGATGGTACTTGTGAAATTTAGAAAGCATTTTCCCTTTATTGTCTTGTATAAAGCTTGTAATAGAGATGAAACACAAGCAATTTATGAAGCATTTTACGGTCAAGGAAAGGGTGCCTAAAATTGGGCCCAAGAATTGACATGCGAAATAGATAGGCACCACATTTCCTCTACCACGTAAGTTGATGGAATGCCTCTCGAGCAGCTTTGTTTGGCCCCACTCAAGTATGTTGACCGAATCCTGCTAATTTAGTTTAGTGAACTCGGTTGTCCAATCCACAAATAATGAATCTTTAGCCGCTAAGCCCCATGTTTCCCAAAAATTCTAAATCGGTTGATTTGGGTCTCATGCACTTGCTTTGGGCCCCCTGAAATACTGACTCAGATTCTATCCAGCAAAACTTCTATATGGTTGCTTCGTGGCCTGCTCCAAGGTTCTCAAGCCTTCAAAGTTCTACCCTGGGCCGAGGTCATGAGTGCTTAATTAAGAATACAAGTCATGTTCCCTTCATTTTAAAGTCATATTGCAGCCTTTTGCGCTGTCATTGTGGCTTGAGATGACAGGCCAAGTGACTCTTCCTCGAGGTCATACCAATGCTATATCTTCTTAGGCATTCCATTCACCATTCTCTCTCTTTACAGAGCTTATATTGGTCCTGTAATTCCAGCCCCAGACACCCTCTAGTGCCATGTTACATCTTAAGAGATGACACATCATCCTAGTGACCCCACTGTTGCAGCACGTGTTTGCCAAATGAAAGAAGTGGTTGATCCACGTGAAAACAAGTGACTGGTTCCCACAAGCAGATTGGTTGCCACTATGTTCATCGACCAATCCACATGCAACTCACTTCCCATTTCGGAGGTATTAGGTTTACATTAACTGTAGGACTGAGTACGGGACATAACGAGGCTACAAGCATGATGAGGGCTGCTGTGGACACTTATGTTCTAGGAATTCTGAAATTCTCATTCCTATCTTTGAATGCTGTCAAATAGTATTGGGTTAAGCTTTTTCCCTTTCAAACTTAAGGCCAGCCTTTCAACTCTACTAAGCTGGCCTCACATGCTCACATTTATTTTTAACTTTTCCGCTCTCCAACTAGAGATGGCAGTGGACTGAAGCGGGGGCAGAGAATGTAGTCTCCATCCCCATACCTGCTTAAAAAAACTCCGTCCATCCCCGGTCCACCCCCGTTAACGGGTATAGTTTTTATCTCCATCTCCGTCTGCTGGTAAATTTGTAATCCTCGACCCCGCCCGTCCCTGCCTGAACCCCCGCCCCCACCCTAGTCCACCATACCCNGTGTGAATACTACACCCACACAAAAATCATTTGTAGTTGAAAAATAAGATAGATCAAATATAGGAAAACCCTAATAGCCCAGTGAATTTTGAATAGATGAAAACATTCCAAAACATCATACACTTCCATTCCAAAACTCAAAACTTGATGATCCAAACATGTTTCTTTATCCTTAAGCGTCTTGTATTTAGTGAAAGGAAACAAATAAGATTTTAGGATGTTGTCCTCAATGGTGTGTTCGATAAGAGAGATTGAAAAGGGAAAGAACGGAAAAATATTGAAGGGGTTGATTTTCCATCCCCAATAGAATAGAAAAAATTTTGCTCTTTTTTGTCTGGTGAATTTTTGATCTTTTTTGGGATAAATTTGCTGTAGTTTGGTATTAGANAGAAAAATATAGAAGGGGTTGATTTTCCATCCCCAATAGAATAGAAAAAATTTTGCTCTTTTTTGTCTGGTTAATTTTTGATCTTTTTTGGGATAAATTTGCTGTAGTTTGGTATTAGAAAAAAGAGAANGGAAAAATATTGAAGGGGTTGATTTTCCATCCCCAATAGAATAGAAAAAATTTTGCTCTTTTTTGTCTGGTGAATTTTTGATCTTTTTTGGGATAAATTTGCTGTAGTTTGGTATTAGAAAAAAGAGAATGGAAAAGAATTACACAAAATTTAAGTTACCATTTTACCCTCAAAGATTGGACTCCAAATCTCTTGGTACTAAAATTGGAAAAAACTTGTGCCTGTCATGGGTCCCAGTCCATTAGTGTCTCCAGACTTTTGTTTGTTTTAATGTTGTGCACATCCCAGTAGTCAGACACGTCCCTCCCCTACAAGTCCAAAATTTGAAATAATGGATGTTTCCTTTGAAGTTAACAAGTTTCACAATAACCTGTCNGTCATGGGTCCCAGTCCATTAGTGTCTCCAGACTTTTGTTTGTTTTAATGTTGTGCACATCTCAGTAGTCAGACACGTCCCTCCCCTACAAGTCCAAAATTTGAAATAATTGATGTTTCCTTTGAAGTTAACAAGTTTCACAATAACCTGTCAAGCCTGATTGTCACCTCCATCCTTGGCTACCCATTTGGCTTTATTTTCTGAAGGTTAAAACAGTAAGGCTTATCTTTATATGCTTGACAACTCTTTCTTTC